TCTAGACTGTGTAGTACAGACTAATAACGTTACAGTACATTACTGAAGGAAATGCTGTGATTAATGCTTCCTTTGGAGCTAAGACTCAAAGTATATAACATTTGGAGATTTGGGGAAGTTTGGGTAGAACAGTGAGAATAAAAGAATGAAGATGTAGATGATCCTGTTTGCTCTAAAGGTGAGTCCAGAGAGTTTATGCTGGTTATTAGAGAGATAAGGCTTTTATCGAGGATCTTGCTAGTCAGGTTAAAGAGCCACTCCCTGATATGCACCAGGGAGCCGCTGTAAATACTTTTTTAAGAAGGTGGGGTTTGGTGCTGAAATACTTGTTTCAGGCTGTTTTGGAGTGTGGTTCTGATTTAAGCTGTTAGGTTATTTTGAGAGATAGTGAATTCTTTTAAGCTAAAGCCTTAGGCATTTTATTTATTTACTTATTTTTCAAAAATTAAAAAAAAATTGTTTTTTTTTTCTTTTTTTTTCTTCTTTTTAAGCCTTAGCCATTTTAGAAGTGAGTTGAGTGAAACGGTTAAGTAGCACCATATAAGTTTCACTATTGATTTATTTAAAATATCCTCTGTATTCTAGATTTCAGAAATACAGAGGCCTCAAGAGCTTCCGGACATCTCCATGGGATCCTAAGGAAAACCTCCCTCAGGATTATGCTCGGATCTTTCAGTTTCAGAACTTTATTAATACTAGGAGACGCATCTTTAAAGAGATTGAAGAAAAAGAGGTTGAAGGAGCTGAGGTATCTGCCTTCCTTTGTGCATCCCTATAATTTGTTTTTGTTTGCCAAGGTGCCCCCTCTACTCCTTCTGTTGGCATGAGTACCTTAATTAGTTTTGTGCTGCCTACAGCTGAATTAGAGGAGCTACTGAGTCAGCGGTAAGAGTGATATTGGGAACAAAGAGGTATCAGAGATGTTAGCTGAAAAAGCTTAATCTAGGTAGTTGAGGCATCTGTGAAGGGCCATCTTGAAGGGTGAGGATTGGCTTTATGGTAGTCTGAGAGACTTTTTAATTTATTTGGAGAAATGCTTCATCATTATTGAGACCTTAAGGGTAATTGCATGATTGTTTTCTGCTTTCTTCTGGCAGGTTGGCTGGTATGTCACACTTCATGTCTCTGAAGTCCCTGTCTCAGTGGTTGAGCTCTTCAAGCGAGGTGCACCCTTGATTGCATTTTCTTTACTACCTCATGAACAGAAGGTGAGTTAGCGTCTTGTGGGAAATGGGAGTTATGACACTTCCCAACCAGTTTTGTCTGGCAGTCTAAAGTTTTATGTGACTGACATTTTGCTCATTGGGATGCAAAAGTCTGCCTTTATGATTAGAGGTCAGAGAGGATGACAGAGAAGTCGATGATGGTTTTACCCAACATGTCTGAACCTGTCTGATACATCTCAGTGACGTGATCTCTGTGTGGTTCTGAGACTTCTCTGAGATAAGTACGTTTGTCAGGTCCCACTTGAACAAAGGGTTGGCATCCATGAAAATAAACAGGGTTAGTGCCAAGGTATAGATCTTTTTTCTCTTGATGGCCAGCAGTCATGTAGGTTGGGGTATATGTGAGAGCTCTGGCCTTTTGGTCACTGTGAGTAAGGGTTGAGGCAAGAAGTGTCTTGAATGAGTGTGGTTTAGAGGTGTGTGATGAGTGAGTGACTTGTAGGCACTGATTTTGTGGCAGATGTTGAGCTCTTGCATGTTAGACATGGGAAGGTCACCTACTGTAGCAGGGACATGAAAGCTCTGAAAACCAGCATATTTTCGATTTGAATGCCCGTTGTTGGTGAAGGTAAAAGGTGAATTTGTGTCTCTTCATCTACACTCCACCATAAATTAGTATTGTCAGTTCTTAGAGTAAATCTAATCTGCTGGTTTGGTTTGCCTTCTTTCAGGTTAGGCTACTCTATTCCTGATATGAAGTTCTGTTTTCCTATTTGGTCCCCAGATGTCAGTACTTAATATGGTGGTGAGCCGGCACCCTGGCAACACTGAACCTGTGAAAGCTAAAGAGGAGCTGATCTTCCACTGTGGATTCAGGCGCTTCCGAGCCTCACCTTTATTCTCTCAGCACACTGCAGGTAAGCAGTAGGGAAGCTTCTGGGTTCTTGTCCATCTTACTGTCTTTTAGGGGACTGAGATTTGGGGAGAGATGCAGAATACACCATTTCAAACTCTCAGTCTCTGGGTTAGAGGTATTTTCAGTACTCTGGTTTAGGAGCCAATGATGTTTCCATTCAAAGTGTCTGAACCTGTCTGAAGCATCCCAGTGATGCAACCTCTGTGTGGTGCTGAGGCTTCTCTGCCATGAGTATTTGCTGCAGAGGAGGTTTTGGATAGGAGTTGGCTGCTTTCTAGAGATGATGTGTCATGGAACCCTTGGCATCTGTTGTGCCAGTGGCCGTGTGGGTGAAGGCTAGGGGTGCCCTCAGTTGGATAAAGCAGAGTGTGTGGCTTCTGAGATGTTGAGACTGCATGAGAATTTAGAGTGTGGTGACCAGGAATACTTTTATGACAAAAGATGATTGTGCTCTTACGTATTAGGAGTGGGAAGATGTTTGCATTAACTTGGGGGCTTCTGAACATTACCTACACTCTCAACTCTCAGCAATGGCCGGAGGAAGGTGATAAAGGCAGCATTAATGGATGCTCTGGATAATTCTTTTCTCACCAGCCATGCTGTCTAAATGAAGGATTAATTTCTCTT